TGAGCTTGGCCTAGCCCTTCCACAGTGTAATGTGTATCACAGCATCACGTTGTACACCATTATGCATACGTGACTGTCAATCAAAGCGTAGAAAGCAATAAACTTTTTTTTTAAAAAAGAACCGGGCTGGATAAACGTGCACTGCAGGAATTTTTGCGGTGGTGAGGGCTTTGGCCTTCGATCCTTCACGGCATTGTTTCCACCTGCTAGATTTACAGTGAATCTCAGGAATTCTCACACTGAGCATTGGTAAAGACCCACCCTGTGTGGTGGGCAGTGCCGTTTCTGCGCTGGTATCTGTACAGAATCTGCAAATTAGGTTTGGTCTCTTCCCAAAGCTTGAGCCTCCTGTCAGTGCGGGGCTGATCGTCCCCAGCAGGATTCAGAGGGGAACTTCAGGCCTGAAGTAATCGAAGCTCCTGGCTCTCAGGGAATGGGCTTCAGCGTGGAATTGCATGTGGCGTAGTGTGCAGGGCCAGACAACAGCAGGTAGAGATCCAGGGTCTGGCTGCAGTTCCTCAGGCAAGTTGCCGCCCCGCCTTGTTTCCTCTCCTGTGGCCGGGGAGGGTTGAGCTAGGTGTCCGGGTAGGGTTAAGCTAGGTGTCCTGCAAGCCCTTTGAGCTGGGCTGGGTGGGCCCCAGGAATGCACGTGACTCTCCACTGGTTGGAGAGAGGACAGCACGGGGGATGGAGGTGGGGACATAGGTGGTCATCAGAGGAGCTGCGGACAGTGAGTCCTGGCTGGCAGCCTCAGCGTGACTGGGACCTCGACTGGGGCACTGTTCAGGGTTCAACTTCTATCAGAACTGGCAGCATCTGGCAAGCATAGGTGCGATTGTGTTGTAGCCATAGTTGTGTGAGGTCATGTTCACTTACCTAGAGCATTTATCCTCTTTGCTTAAACCGTCCCCCCCAGTCTCTCACCAAGTGCAGGGCAAGGTTGACGGTTTCCACTGCATTGTGTTATCAGGACTGGAGAGCTGGTATCTGCTGCAGGTTTTTCCCCTCAAGAACTGGTCTGACTACACAGGAGCAAACAGCCTCGCCCAGATAGTATCTGGCCTCTGTGAGGCTTGTGGTGCCTTGTGAACTTGGATATCAGACTATGCTCAGGCTCAGGGGACGACCCTAGGCATGTGCTTGTGGGCTCCTCACAAGCTTCTAGATCTAAACAGGGCTGTCTCCCTCAAACGGACTCGAGCGGTGGCAGCCTGCATTCTGGAGCCCACCACAGTGACTGTGTTGTGTGGGATTTAGTTTTCCTGGCCTCGCTTCCCAGGGACCTCAGGGCTTTGATGCCGCTCTCTGGACAAGGGCTTGTTTTCCCAACTATGGCGTGGAGAAGGACGCACGTGGCCTCTCATGCCCAGGTGGGCTTACACGATGGCAGGGTGACCGTGAAGGCAAACAGAACTGCAGCCGCCAAACTCAGAAACAGCCTGGGGCCCAAAACCAGCTGGGGGAGAAATATGTCCCAACTCTGAGCAGAGCTCAACGCCCAGGAGCACAGCAGGCCTATGAATCGCCTCTTATCAGATCACTTAGGAAGAGCCACAGCCCAGCCTGAATCCTCGGCTCACAGGCTCATAACCGTCTGGGTGGTGGTTAATTACACCACACAGGGAGCTTGCCACGATGTGCAGGCTTAACTCAGCTGCTGAGCTGGGAAGCCACACAGTGCCGTTCAGTTGGGGCTTGGCCTTTGCTGTGTCCCAGCTAGACCCTTGACTCCTTTCCAAAGCAAATGTAACACTGCCTTTATTGACTCAGCATCAGGAAGCCAGGCTGTGTGGGCGGGCTAGGAGGAGCCAGGTGGCTGGCAGGGTGTTGCAGACCTGCACAGGGGGATCGAGGTGCGGCAGAGTCCAGAGTGACCTAGAAACAGAACATGGACACAGCTTAACAGTGAGGTCTCTCACTACCCAGTGTTTTAATTGCGTTCATCTTTATCCATGCTCCCTAGACGGGAACCTAGAAATGGGATTTGTGTCACTGTGCAGGCGACTGTGTGGACATCTCCATGTTGGGGTTAAACGCTTTGCTCTCAGGTGTGTAAGTGAGACAGGTTGGGGAACAGGGTTTGGTTCGAAGAAAGATCCCTGTGCAGACATCTGTCTAATCAGGCCTTTGCTTCAGATGCCTCCGAGGACGGCCTTGGGAACCGAGCACTGCCCCCTAGGGTCAGCGTGGCCTCAAGTGTGCCCCCGGGGGCCTGTGCACCTGCCGGGCGCTGGTCTCATGTGGTGCTGTGCTGGTGAACTTCGGTGTGTTTGCCACCATCAGGCCACAAGCGGCGCTGGGCACCGTCATCCGGCATGCAGCTCGCACGTGCCAGGTCGGAGGTCAGCCGTGTCACTGAGAGGAGCAGCCTTGGCGATCCAGACTCCTTTCCTGGACGTCACTGCACACCTGCCTGGGGCGAGCATGGCTGTTCGGGCGCTTCCTCCTGCTGGGCCAGCGTCACTGCACAGGCAGATTTGGTTGTGTGTGGGGCGCCCTGCAGACAGGCATCCTGTGCTGCGTGCCTGGAAGTATCTTGCTGGGACTCTGGTCAGCTGGACCATCCTGGGCTTCCCGCGGGCACAGCCACAGCACGGGCCAACCCGCCTGCCGGTGCTCATTGGCAGACCTTGGCTTCCTCGTCATCGGCAGGCGCACTGCACCTGTGTCACATGCTGTCCTGCTCTCCCCCGTCCCAGGCTGCCGCCCCCTCGGCCCCAGCCCTCTGGACTCGGTTCCTCGGCATTTAGCCCTTGCCGCGTCCAAGGCCAGGCGTCCTCACAAGGCAGCAGGCACCTGGAGACGTGTGTCCACTTACTTGTCTATCTCAAACTTGTCGCACCTGTACTGTCCTCACCTGTGCTCTCAGCCACCAGAGGCGCCCTCCACGGGGTGACCTCTGCTGTGTCACAGAGCAGCTTGGGCGGATGGGTGCTGCGTGTGGCAACACATGCTTCCGTTCACAGTGGAGAGGCTTTGTGTCGGTGTGTGCAGGTGCACCGTTACTGCAGGGCTATTATGCTCCCATTTTGCCAGTGCCACGGAGACCACCACCCTCACTGGGCGTGGCCTGGGGAGCATGGTGGGACCCGTGTAATGGCCTTGCTGGTTCTTGCTGGCAGAGACATCTGTGCCATTTTATGACCCTCATTTCCGACACGGGAGACAAGGGAGTTGGTTAAACCGGGAGCCAGTTCCTGAGGTGTGTCAAATCATGAACTGTTTCTTTGGAAAAGCAACATTTCCGAGCCCTGACGGGCTGCAGCGTCCTTCGTGGCCAATCTCAGAGGATCCTGCAGGAAGGCTCCTCAGAACCCACGGGGAGGACGGGCCACAAGCCCAATGTAGATGGGGCCACCTTTTCCAGCTGCTGGGGAGCTACCTGCCCTGCCCGTGGGGGTGGGGCGCCACAACCCCAGAGTAGACGAAGAAGCTGCCTCTGGCCCAGCCAGCCCCTCACATGAGTTTAGGAGCGGGTGGGTCTGTTAGCGGCCGCGTGCTCTGTGTTTGTGCTGTTTTAACACCCACCTGCCTCTTGCTGCGGAATTCTCATCGCTGAAGGCTTTTTCCAGGGTTATTTCAGAAGGCATTTCACAAACCTTTTTATTCTTACCTGGAAGGCAAGGAACGAATCGGCACAGGCACACCGATGGCGAGCTGAGCGTGCGAGAATGCCTGCTGGCCACTTGCCTTCGTCCCTCTGCGTGGGCAGCTACAGCCACGCTGTGCGCGAGAGCAGGGGTGTGGCAGTGCTGTGAGTGGGCCCTGGCCGTGGCGAGGCATTGCGCTGTACGCTCTAAGCGAACGTCGGGTGTGAGGACTGCCCGGGCCTCGTGTGGTCCTCATGAAAGGGAGGCCAGGAGGGTGAGGACTCCTGGCACCGAGGCCCACCGAGTGACGCATGGCAGTTGTATTGGCAGCCATTCGCGGTGTCACAGTCAGCAGGCTTCCAGGATGATCTTGGCCACCAGATTGGAGTCGCTCAGCAGCTCATGTGCCAGAGCCTGAGCCCATGGGGCCCCCAGCTGGAGCACGTGTCATTTCAGGCTGGACTAGACTGTGCGGCCCTCGTTCCCTTCACAGTGGGGCTGCGGCCTCCTGCCTGGGAGGCATCTCACAGCCAAGAGTGACCACCACTGGCTTGAAGACAGTCAGATGCCAGCTCGTCACCTGAGCAGGCCACGGGTCGGCCTACTTTCCGCGTCCAACTCTGGCCACCACGTGTGTTCTCCTGGAGAACAGTGGGTGCCGGAGACAGGTGTGTCTGGGCCAAGGCAAGACCAAAGTCGTGCCAAAAGCTGCGTTCTCCATGTCCAGGTGGGGCTCATCACCTTCTGGCCCTGGGGGCTAAAGCAGCTCTGACCACCCCAGATGAGGCTTCTGGCTCCCTTGTGGGTCCCGCTCCAGGCACATTTCCTTGGTCCCGAACTAGGTGGAGCGAATTCTTCCTCCCAGCCTCGAGGCTTGGCGGAGCTCGGACACCACCGCGACAGCACGGCTGCTGCTGCTCCCTCTGTGGCGAGCGGGCCCTGGTCCTGCACAAGCCAGGCCGAGCCTCCCTCGTGGCCTGGCCTCCCAAGAGTAGGGCACGAGGTGCTGGCAGTGCCTCGCCTGCCTTGCCAAGTCTCCAGCGGGGAGGATAACAGGGCCGCGGGGCCGTCCTGCCGCCCTGGCTCCCAGGGCATTGGCGGCCTTCCCCCAAGGGCTCCTGCACGAGTGGGACTGCTGCCTCTCCCCCGCATAGCGCCACACGCTAGCCACACTCCCACACTTGGAGAACAGCCTTCGTGTCACCAGGCGGACACCGCGTAGCACCAGCAAGGGGCCTGGGGCTTCACTGCAGGCGCGCAGGAGCCGGCCCGCTGGCAGGGTGGTGCAGGGGCCAGGACAGGGAAGTCTCGTGATTAGGGCGGTGTCGCCAAGCGGCCTGCTCAACGGTGAGGGTTTTCTGGGATGCCTCACTGCCATCACACGCGCACCCCACACACAAACACACGCACATGCGCGTGCGCAGCCGCTCCTGGGGAAACCATGTGAGAGGTGCACGTCCCAGCAGGCCAGAAGGCAGGCTGGCGGAAACCCGTCTGCATCCTCACAACCACAGCGCGCCATGTATGGTCAGAGTCTGAGCTCTCACCTGATGGTGTTCTCCAGCATAGATCATTTTCTGTTTTGCCGATTCTTCCAAGGGTCATGTTAATGATGGCATAGGACTTCGTGGCATGATGAGTCCTCTATTTTGGCCGTCTGGGTCCTTGGAAATGGAGTTCTTTCCCTTTTGTGGAGCTCACAAGACACACATTGACAGTGCACAGAGCTGTTTTCGTGTCCGAGCTGATAGGACAAGCGGGTGAGCACGGTCATGCTTCCTGGGGCTTGCTCGCCTGCAATTTGTAGTGGTGTGGGCAGTGGGTGAGAAAGTGAATTTCACAGCCTTTGGCATTTTAAATTTTTTAAAGAATTCATTGAGCAGATCACTTACATCGCGTTTTTTAAAATACTAAGTGAGGAAGGATTTGGGTTACGCTTTCTGTTCATTTTGTAACTTGTTTTTATGGACAGGGAATCTTTGTGGTTTAGCTGATCAGTTCCTATTTTGCTTTAATGTGTCCCCCTGGTTCTTTGCTTTGTAAAATTTCCTGAGTGAGGCTGTGTGGGGGGAGGTGTTGACATTTGTTACTGTAAAGGCTCCTGAAGTGGCCAGGTTCCAGAGGGTGCAGCAGACCCAGAAGGGGTGAGGAAGCTGAGTATACATCCCCTGCGCCCTGGGAGGCTGCCAGCGTTATCTCAGGATCCCTGTCCTTGTCATGTTAGGTCCTGACTGTCCATCTGTACGTGGGAGCTGCTTAGGATAAGTGAGCTGGGCTCCAGTCCTACCTCGACTTATCTAGACATGTGTCCTCGTGGGGAGTGGCAATGCTCTAGCCTCCATTTCTTATCTGGAAGGTAGAGGGTTTAGCGGGACGCCTTGGTGGGGTGCTGTACCCACCTAGTGAGGGTCATGTTGGCGGTTCTTTTGTGTGTCTCCCTGCAGAGCCTTGGAAGCCCCAGCACAGTGACGGTTCCTGAAACCCTGCTGTTTGTGTCCACCCTGGACGGAAGCCTGCATGCTGTCAGCAGGAGGACGGGCTCCATCACGTGGACGCTGAAGGAAGGTAATGGACTGGGTTCTGGGGTCACAGGGGCATTTGGTTAGCTGCCTCCAGGTGAGCACTTTCCAGAGGAAAAGAAACTTGCATGTTATCTAGGTAAGCAGTAGGAGCATGGGGTCAGGAGGAGAAGGCGCTGGAACCAGGACTGGGCAGGGGTCAGAGGGAGGGAAGGCGCTGGAACCAGGACCGGGCAGGGGTCAGAGGGAGGGGAAGGCGCTGGAACCAGGACAGGGCAGGACCAGGCAGGGGTCAGAGTGGGGGAAGGCGCTAGAACCAGGACAGGGCAGGGGTCAGAGGGAGGGAAGGCGCTGGAACCAGGACCGGGCAGGAGTCAGAGGGGGGGAAGGTGCTGGAACCAGGACCGGGCAGGGGTCAGAGGGAGGGGAAGCCACTGGAACCAGGACCGGGCAGGGGTCCAAGGGAGGGAAGGTGCTGGAACCAGGACAGGGCGGGGGTCAGAGGGAAGGGAAGATGCTGGACCAGGACCAGGCGTGGGTCAGAGGGAGGGGAAGATGCTGGAACCAGGACCGGGCAGGGGTCCGAGGGAGGGAAGGTGCTGGAACCAGGACCGGGCAGGGGTCCGAGGGAGGGAAGGTGCTGGAACCAGGACCGGGCAGGGGTCCGAGGGAGGGAAGGTGCTGGAACCAGGACCGGGCAGGGGTCCGAGGGAGACGGCGCTCGCCCAGGACAGGGCACAGCCTGACATGCTTGTGTGTCCACCTAGTGTGCTCGTGCTCGAGGCTCCCTTTTGTTTTTTGGCTGTTGCTCCCTTTTCAGCTTGGTGTTGGAGGGGCTCTGGGTTTTCTGTTAACGGCTAACTGGGGTCTTTACGGCACCATGCTCTATTCCCTTCTAAGGATTAGAGTCGCCATCATAATTACAAGAAAGTCCCTCTGGCATCTCAGTCTGTTCATTCGTTTTATAGCAGCTGAAACAATTGCAGGCTACAGGATGTGTCGCTGGCGAGGCGAGCCACTGGCTTGGGCTGTTTGGGGTCGGGAGGAAGAGGCTGAGCCAGGCAAAGCATGTGGAGCCGGGCCTGGGGTTTCCAGGGCGGTCCCTGGTGTCCTGCCCCGCCATGCGCTCACCTGGCCCCGCGTCAGTCCCCACCAGATTGCTCTCCGCTGTCATACCCTGTGACTTACTACTTTCTTTTTTCTTTCCTTGTTTTTGGAGGAGCTCAAGGGCGTCGAAGAGCACGACTCCCCCGCCCATGACTTATTTTCATGAGCACAGCAGTGGTTGTCCTTCCTTCGTGATGGGTTCCAGTGTTCCAGATAGAAAACATTGGCGCGTGTCCCAAGGTCCCACATCTCGCGAGTTCAGCAGCAGATCGGTTATGTCCATGACTGATGGCAGCTGGGCCGGCTGGGGCGGGCACTGCAGTTTTAAGCAGAGAAGGCCCCATGGGACGGCATCACTGCAGCAGGCCTGAGGGAGACCAGGGAGGCTTGTGGACGGGTGGTACGGTGGCTTCAGGGTGGGAGTGTCCTCGTCTCAGGGCAGAAGAGCGTGGACTTGGATGTGGCTGGGGCGGAGGGAGTGGAGGACGAGCTGGCAGAGAACATGACATCACTCTACATATGCCCTGCCCTCCTGCAGCAGGACACACACGCAGCGACCCACAGTTTAGGAAGAAATACGTTGTCATCCACCGGCCATTCACAGTGAAGATGGCAGGAGGGCGACATCCAATCATATAGATATAACTGCACGGGCAGGGCAAGGTGCACCTGTGGGCCGTGGACCCCATGAGACTGGTTGGCCTGATGCCTGCCACGACCGCTTCCCAGATGGGGCCCCACACTTGGTGTTTCAGACAGAGGCACAGTCTTGCCTGTCTTACGCCGTCATGGCATTCAAAGATGTGGGGTATTCTGCAAAACACATTTCTGTGCTCCTGTGTCAGCGGGTCGTGGCGTGAACACTGGGAAGGCTTTCGGCTGGGAGTGTGTATGACAGAACCACAGAGCAGTCCCGTGACACCCGTGCCCCGAAAATGCCCCCAGTTTCCCGCATTTTCCCTCAGGGCCATGACTTCCTCTTGGAGACTGCAGGGCCAGTGTGAGGACACAGGCTTCTTCCCAGACCCTGGCGGTATCTCCCAGGAGGAACAGCCCCCAGGGCTGTGGCCTGAACTTGTCCCCACCCCTCACGAGTTCGCACATCTGCACTCTGACCCTCTGTGTGGTGGTATTTGGAGGTGGGGCCTTCTGGAGGGAGGGACAGACTAGTGTCCTTGGGAGAAGAGGAGGCGACCAGAGCCCGTACTGTCTCCACCACATGGGGCACAGTGAGCAGGCAGCCGTCTGCAGCTGGGAAGAGAGCCCTCCCAGCACCGCCCATGCTGGCACTCACCCAGACTGCGGCCTCTGGGCACTGAGGAGTGGGTGTTGTTTCAGCCCCAGGTCTGGCATTTTGTTATGGAAGCCTGAGCAGGTAAGACCCCTGCCTCCACGCGACAGGGCCCGGGTGCTTGTGCCGATGGAACTGGAGGGGTCAGAGGAAGCTGGGAGGCCAGGCAGGAAGCCGGGAGTCCGCCTCCACGAAAGAGCCACTGACACAGCAGGACTCTCCTGGCTGGCTGCTTAGTCAGCTGGGGCTTTCCTCAGGCGCCAATAGCGGGAGTGGTATCTTCTTTCCACAATGGCTGGGTAGGTGCCTTGGTTCCTCAGCCAGGTGTGTGTTGCTTTTCTAGAAGTGGGGGCTTCTTACACCATTGTGGCGCATTACGCCCAACAGAGGAGATGGTCTGTGTTCTGGAACTGGTGTGAGTTGGGACGTTCATGCGGGCACCATCTGTCTAGGCCAGGACTTGTCCTGGGCCCCTCATGGCCTGTCTTCCTCTAGAACCTTCTTGGGAGCTGCCACGAGGCGTCCCTTATGCACCTTTGGACCAGTGCAGGTTGCTGCAGGCTTTGTTTGGAGGGCCGGGTTGGCCTGTGGTGCCGTTGGGCCTTCCTGGGCATGTCCAGGGCGGGGGTGGGGCCTTCCCGGGGAGCCTCCAGGGCGCGGACAGGGCCTCTGGGGCCCGCTGGAGACCCCAGCCCGTGCTGATCTCTGGCCCTCGACTCTCTCATCACAGGCTGTTCTCAGCAACTGTGTTCCCTCCTGTCTCCTTTCCGATCGGAGGAACGAGGAGGCTGGGCCGAGTGCAGCCCATTCTCACTTATTGTAAAAGTCCACTAAACACGCTGCGTGGCTGCCCTTCCACGGGACAGGCCCAGCCTCCTCCAGGGTGGGCACTGATGAGCCTGGCGATTCCGGGGCAGGTCAGGACGCAGCGCCCGCAACGAGTGGAGCCTTCTCCCTTCGCAGCCGCGTCCCCTGGCTGGGCCTTTGTCGTGGTCCCCTGGGGTTGGCAGAGTTGAGGTTAGAAGGGCGCTCCCCTCCCCCGCAGGCGGGCAGCCCAAGTCCTGTCCTGCAGCCTCGGGAGGGCATCCTGGATCAGCCTCCCGGCCTCCCACCCCAGCCTGGTGTGCCTCCTCCCCACGCCAGGGCACCCTCCGGGAGGAGAAACTGGACCCCGCTGTGCCCTGCCCGCCGCGGCTCTGGTGCTGTCCCGGTGGCCCAGGTTCGGAGGCCCACACAGGGGCAGCAGGAGGGGTCATCCTCGCAACAGACGGGGTGCCCGACGCGTGGCACCAGCCCCAGGTCCAGCCCAAGCCCCTAGGGAGTGTACAGGGCCGTTCCCAGTCCTTGCCCCCACCCAGCAGGCGCCCCAGGGGCAGCTCGGAGCTCCTTCCCAGAGACAGGCCTGCCATCTGTGAGGACCCCACCGTAGCTCCTCTCATGCGGGAAGACCCCAGCATAGCTCTGTTCATCTGGGAAGGGCCCCAGGGCAGCTCCCAGTCCCATAGCAGGGTCTGCAGGTCCACCGGCCACGCGTGTAGCCCTGGGCGCGTGTATGGCTTTGCTGCTTGTCATCCCGGGAACTCTAGCTCCTCCCGGGTCTGTGCAGCCAGGCACTCAGGGACGGCTGAGGCCCCCACTGCGGGCTCAAACTAGCACCTGCTGCCAGGATGTCTTTGGGTCCCAAGGACGCCAAGGCCTGCCCGCTCGGGGCGCCGTTCGTCCCGGTATCACCCGCACAGCCGCCTGGCCTCAAGTACCATGTGGCTTTGCACGGTGGGTGGGGCCTGCTGCCGGCGTGCATGGGCTGCTGAGGGGGAGGCGGGCCCTCAGGAGTGCTGGAACCTGCGGGGACAGGGTCCCAGCCTGCCTTCCATGGAGGAGTTTCCCAGGCCTGGACACCCCACCCAACATTCCACTGCATGGCGGAAGCAGGGGTCGTATGTCCTCCCACCGCCATGGAGACCTGGAGGCTCAGGGGGTGGGGGTGGAGACCCCGTCCTGCTCTTGAGTGTCTTGAAGTGCTCTCTTTTGCTTTGGATTTTACCGTGTAGCATGGGGATTTTAAGTGTCTCCAAATGGAGAGTCCTGGGTGGTGAACCCCCCGTAACACCTGCCCGGCAAGGCCGGCACATCCAGTCTCATCTCCACACACCCCCACCTCCTCCCTCGTTTTGGACAAGGTCTCCTGTCCCAGCTCCAGTCAGCATCTTTGGAGTACGGCGTGCCCTGCGGACGCAGGAACAGCATCAGCCTGGTTGCGCCTTAGCCGCCCGCCCCTGCTCCCATCACTGCTCCCCTTGGGCGTCTGAGGCTTGGTGGCCTGAGGAGGCCTGGCGCGGGCTGGGTGTTGGGCTGTCCACAGCTCCTTTCTGGTCCTGAGGTCCACGCATTTTCAGCCCAATCACTCTGCTGGTGGCAGGAGGACCCAGAAGCCTTGGCCACAGGGCCGGTCGTCCCTGCGAGGACTTCCACAGTCGTCTTTGTCATGTTTTGAGCTTGTCCCGCCCCCCCGGGAGGCTGGAGGGAGCTTTGGGTCCCATCCCTAAAGGCCCGAAGTACCTGCTGTGCTGCCTTCCGGCGTGGGCGGGGCTTTCTCCCACTGGGACCTGATTACTGTCTGGCGTTCAAGGCTGGGAGTCACCTCTGTG